AATCTTTCTTTTAGGCACACAAAGATATCAAGATTCAGTCAATGCATCTCAACAATGGTGATGAGCAGAATATTCAATTAGGAAAAGTAAATTACATAGACAATTCAGATCATAATTTATTCATACCGCAATGCATGATGGGAGCCATTAATGAGTTGTGATTGGTGGCAACAAGGATTATTATTGTCACCACGGTTGAGATCCACAGGCTGATTATTGATGTCTATGTTTCTAAAAAAATGCAATTTGAAAGTGATTTGATCAGAACAATTTTTATTAAATGTTTTGGATAATAAGAAAAAAACAATTAACATACACAACAAAACTGGTGCTATCAAGTTAAACCAGATCATCTGAATGAGTTTCATTTTTCAGATCACAGCGTGATCATGTCAAAACATAACCAACACTATCAGATCACACTTTTCTTTGTTCATTTAACTGTTATAAATCAATAACAGCAGACAAACAAAAATTAAACTTAAAGTATAAGGATCAAGAGCCCAACTAAAGCAAATACTGATCGCCATAACGGTGGCTTACAATTTTAGATTTTCTCCTTCAGTGATTCTGCTTGTTATCATCAGGTGTCTTCAATAATGCTCAATCATCACTAAATTAATCACTTAATTATCTCATTAACTTTAACACTCTTGAGTGTTAATTTAACACTCATAGAGTCATATCTGCATCATATCGTCCATCTGAAAGCAGGTGAAGGAGATTTACTACTAATCAAGGAACCGGCTTTACTGATTAGATGCGCATAACAATATCGTGCGATTAATCGCCCAGCCCTAACGCAGGCTCACTCTCACTCGTATCCAAGGTAAATCATCAACACTATCATCCCTTACACGCGTTTTATTTAACTAAATACATCACAATAAGCTTAAAACGCATGCGCAGGTTACTTTACTTCCTGAACAAGTGCGCACCCGAGTCCGTGTTGCTTTCACATTCACGCGAACCGCGGCACGGTTCGGGAGCAACCGAACTCAGACCACCTCTTCCAGGTAGTCTCGGGTTCGGTACCCCAGTGCGCACCCGGGTCCCATGACAGCGTTCACATTAGCGATTTTTCATGCGAACCGTGCCCCGTTCCGAACTAAACTGCCAGTGTGAAAGCCCCCTTAGTGAAGCTGGTAATGCTGTTTGTGGCGTTGTTTAATCCTCCTCTGCTGATATCTTTTCTCTTCAGTTGATTTCATCTAAGGGGGCTTTTACACTGGGCTCGTTTGCTGCGGTCCGAGCCCGAGCGCGTTTGTTCCCGGCGCCCCCCGCAGCGTTGGTCTGGTTTCACACACAACTTGATTCTATCAAACCCTGGTGCGTTTGCGTGCATATGACGTCATCGCAAACGTGCACGGCGCATGATAGAAAACAGAACGTGGGTCAATATATATATATTTTTTTATTAATTCGCTGCTATTATGCGCAGTCGAGTGAACACTACAGGTTTACTGTGCGTGTGTCACATAAGGTGGACTTCTGCTGCTTGCAAACGGACTCTTTTTAGGAGACAGTGGATTTCCAACTTTGTTGCCCTGATTCCACGCGCAATGCACGAATACACTGCACGCAGGCTCACTCTCGCTCGTTTCCAAGGTAAATCATCAACACTATAATCCCTTACAAGCGTTTTATTTAACTAAATACATCACAATAAGCTAAAAACGCATGCGCAGGTTACTTTACTTCCTGAACAAGTGCGCACCCGAGTCCGTGCTGCTTTCACATTCACGCGAACCGCGGCACGGTTCGGGAGCAACCGAACTCAGACCACCTCCTCCAGGTAGTCTCGGGGTCGGTACCCCAGTGCGCACCCGGGTCCCATGACAGCGTTCACATTAGCGATTTTTCATGCGAACCGTGCCCCGTTCCGAACTAAACTGCCAGTGTGAAAGCCCCCTTAGACTCTGGCTGAAGTCAGTTGTAGTTGTGTTTCTCTTTTCTTGATGTCATTATGCTTGTTAATAGCAGGTGTTCGTCACTAATGCTCAATCATCCCTTAATTAATCCGTTAATGCAGAGTTAATGCCTTGAGGGTCAAGAGCCCAACTAAAGCAAACACTGATCTCCATAATGGTAACATACCAATTACGATTTTCTCCCTCAGTGATTCTGCTTGTTACCATCAGGCGTCTTCGATAATGCTCAATTATCCCTCAATTAATCATCTCATTAACTTTAACACTGCTTCAGTGTTCATTTAAAGGGGTCATATAATGGTACATGCACTTTTTCAAGTTGATTGTACTGAAATGTGTGTTGGCAGTGCCTGTACACAACCATCATATAATGATAAAAATCCATCCAGTGGTTTTGTTTTAATCTCCTTATATGTTTTCCCCTGCCTCAAATCGAGCCGTTCGAGCCTGTGACGTCACACGGTCGGACGCCCCTCCCGTGATTGTTGATTGATAGGCGCGTTTCAACACAGACCCGCCCTCGCTCGTGAGAGCTGCCAATCATAGTCTGCGCGGACCCGCGCGGTCATTGTTGATATGCTGGAGCACTGTCTATGAGCAGAATGGCGTCTAAGCGATTGTGGTGTTCTGTTCTTGGGTGTAATAACGAACACAGCTGTCATTTTAATGTTCCTAAATCCGAACCGCTGAAGACGCGGTGGCTGAGTTTGTTTTCGAAGGGAATATTCCCCACGAGCAACGTCAATGCTTTCATGTTTGCGCGAATCATTTCTCAGCAGACTGCTTTATAAACGAGGATCAGTATAAAGCTGGATTTGCTAAGCAGCTGCTCCTGAATAAAGAATCGGTACCAGATATTCGTGTTCCTGCTGAACCTCTAGAACAACTGAAGTGAGTGTAACGTTTTATTAAACTTTATATTAATATTTATATCTTTGCAAATCGCTTCACGATGAATGAGTCTAAGGTTTACACTCAGGGTACATTACTGCATGTTTTCTATGTACGACGTTCTCCATATAATTCATAATCCCACGTTTATAATGAACAACACGTTATGGTATTGTGTTACAAACGTGTACGCACAGAACAGAGGGGCGGGGTGAGCAAAGCTCATGATCATTTAAAGTCATATGCACTGAAACGGCGTGCTGAAAACAGAGCTGTTTTTGACCAGGTAAAATAAGTGTTTTCTTACAATACTAATGAGAATTTTTAATTAAAGTATATTACAAACTTTTAAGTTAGACCCTAAAGAATCATATTAGCTTGTTCAAAAATGGCATTATATGACCCCTTTAACAGTCCCTGAGTGTGGACTCATAAACATTGAACAGTGTTTTAAAAAATAGCACAAACAAATAGCAAATACCTCAGTGAATCAAATTATTTCATGATGATTATTAAACCATCAACAGGTAACCATTATAACCTGATCTCACTTCGCTTTAGCTTTATTTGCTGCTGAAAATGTGTTTTACTAAACACACTATCACAACGGCCGAAAAAAGACAAAAATACATTAAGAGTTAAGACCCCAACTAATGGAAACACTAATCACTGTTATGGTGACTTCAAATGAAAGAGTTAAACCTCTGTTAATTCTCAATGAAAACTTCTGTAGAAGTCTGACAGAATTAAAGTCAGTCTGGTTAGTAATAAGTGAAGCTGGTAATGCTGTTTGTGGAGTTGTTTAATACTCCTCTGCTGAGATCTTCAGAGATTTAATGTCTTCAGTTGATTTCATCTAAGACTCTGGCTGAAGTCAGTTGTAGTTGTGTTTCTCTTTTCTTTAGTCATTCTGCTTGTTAACAGCAGGTGTTCATCACTAATGCTCAATCATCCCTTAATTAATCAGTTAATTATCTCATTAACTTTACCACTTTTAACACTCTTTAGATTGGGACAATATGTACTCTGAGCAGTGTTGATTGAACACTGGGGATTTTGCTGTGTTCCTGTAAGGTGTAGTAATCATGAAGACATTGATTAGCTTGTTCAGGTGAGTTTGATTAGGGTTGTTGATAAACTCTGCAGGAAAGTGGATCTCGCGGGCCAGAGTTGAGGACCCCTGCTCTAGGCTAATGAAAATATTTTCACCCATAGCAGGAACATTGTTAGACTTATCATCTGCTACCCTTGAGTGGAGGCCCTCTGTCACGGTCATTAGTCACATTTCTCATTTTCCAGCCACGTACACACTGGTCATACATACATACATTCATATTGAATTTCTTCCACACATATTAACATAAACAATGTAAGAGATTCACATATTGGTAGGGGTTTCACACACAATAAAACAAATTTAAAATAAACTAAATCAAATGAAATTTGCAAATAAAAAAAATACAAATATGTATTAAAACTTTAAATTGCTGCATGCATTTTTAGAATTTGTAAAATTCTTGGCAGCGAGACATGCACACAAATCCACAAAGAGTTGGCCAAATACTCTGACCAATTGTATCATGTTTTTAGCGTCAACCAATCATGTTTGACTTGTAATTAAAAATTATTGCTGCTACTTACTAGCCTGGTCCTACCAGACTCTCGTACACATTTCATTTGTACAGAGAGTCTGGCCTCGCTCCATTGAAAAAAGTTAACTTCCTTGTAGGCGGGTCCTCTGTTGAAGTTTAAAACTATTGGATCAGTCCAGAGTCACTCTGGATCTGCCATAACCAATCGCTAACGTTTGGTCGTGATGTATGTCTACAACTCAAACTAACGCACCTCAACATCATCGTTCTCAGCCACTCCCTCTGTTCTCTGAATGGACCGGTAAAACATTGATATACAAGAATATACAGCAAACCCAGACGTAGTACTGAAGGAAAACAAATATCGGAAGCGGAAGTACGTAGGAGGGTGGAGCCAGGCTATCCATTGTACTTACAGCATGCTCCACAAAATGTGTGCCTGTAATACTTAATGTTTACATTCTGTAAATGTAAAATGTGTCAATCAACTCTTTGATTATTAACATCTCTTTCATAAACCAACGATTTGGTTAAAGACAGACATACAGACCGAAAGACAGATATACATACATATATGCATACGTACCTTCCTTTCTTATTCATGGTTGTATCAAAACAAGAGTAGACTGGGCCGATTTAATCTGTGGAAATGGAAACAAGTGAGCTCATTGGCTACTGATAAGGCAGGAACCAATCAGCTGTGCCCTATTGATAACGATGTGATTATGAACAGGTGAGTAAAAGGACCTAGGAGCACCATCTAGACTTAGGCCGTTTCTCAATACCAAGTACGCAAACTTCGGACTTGCGTCCTTGGTAGTTCGGACTTGCCAAGTTCGACTCAGGAGAACGAACTGCCGAGGACGAGAGGACGCGAGTCCAGTTATTCTGCAAATGGAACAGTGCGTTCTTGATCGCGTCACTCAGCACGCTCTGGCTACTCCGGTTATCTCTTTATGTATATTTTCGTCAACAATAAAACGAAATATGTTATAAAACACCACTCTGCCTCTTTTTATTTAAAAATCTTAAACATAGTAGCCTAATGGCCATGTGGTTCAGGCAACGCGTACATTATCTTCACTGCATATATTTATAATAACATGAACATGATCTTTTTGTTGTCATTTTAAAAATATGAAACATTATTGATTTTTATTGGCATTTAACAAACAGAGACAGGGTTGTGTCATTTTATTTTATTGTACATAGTGAAGAGAATGTTAAAATAAATAGAAAAATATATATATATTTTAAAGTATGTCTTTTTGTTAGGGCTGGGCGATATATCGCACGATATTGTTATGCGCATCTCGTCAGTAAAGCCGGTTCCTTGATTAGTAGTAAATCACCTTCACCTGCTTTCAGATGGAGCGGCATTTACTACAAAGAGCCGTAGTTCACTGACAAGCTGAGCCATATCGCACTAATATCGCGGACGTATCGCCAGCGATATTTAATGCTATATGGCTCAGCTTGTCAGTTAACTACGGCTCTTTGTACACAGCAAAAACTCTAGTGTTAAATGAACACTCCTGGGAGTGTATGACTCCACACTCAAGAGTGTTAAAGTTAATGAGATAATTAAGTGATTAATTGAGTGATGATTGAGCATCTAAAGAAGGAGAAAATCTAAAATTGTAAGCCACCGTTATGGCGATCATTGTTTGCTTTAGTTGGTCTCTTGACCCTTAGATTACTAACTTTAGATAATGTTGGCTGTTGTTTCTGAGAACAAAGGAAAAAAAGTGTTCTAATGATGTTGGTTATATTATGACAATCATCATTTGATCTTTATGTTTGTGATTTATGCTGTTGGTTACAGCATAACTGTGATTCTGCATAAATATCCATAATTTTATATATGAATATAATATAAAGGATTTCTTTAAAGTTGGTTTAAAAAAAATCTTTATATTAGGCACACACAGACATCAAGATTGAGTCAATGCATCTCAACAATGGTGACGAGCAGAATATTCAATTAGGAAAAGTAAATTACATAGACAATTCAGATCATAATTTATTCATACCGCAATGCATGATGGGAGCCATTAATGAGTTGTGATTGGTGGCAGCCACTGCAACATGCATTATTATTGTCACCATTCTTGAGATTCAAGAATGATTATTGATCTCTGTGTTTCTAAATAAATTCATATGGAAGTGTTTTGATCAGAACAATGATTATTAATAATTTTGGATTATAAGAAAAATAATGATAATTGTATGCTGTAGAATCACAAAGCTGTTAATAATAAGTTAAACCAAACTATTTCAATAAGTTTCATTTTTCAGATCACAGCACGATTATGCCAAAACATAAACAACAATGTCAGATCACACTTTTATTTGTTCATTTGACTGTTATAAATCAATAACAGCAGACAAACAAAACTTAAAGAAGAAAGTATAAGGGTCAAGAGTCCAACTAAAGCAAACACTGATCGCCATAACGGTGGCTTACAATTTGTGATATTCTCCTTCAGTGATTCTGCTTTAGGTGTCTTCAATAATGCTCAATCATCACTCAATTAATCACTTAATTATCTCATTAACTTTAACACTCTTGAGTGTGGACTCATTTACACTCCCAGGAGTGTTAATTTAACACTGGAGTTTTTGCTGTGTACTAAGAGCCGTAGTTAACTGACAAGCTGAGCCATATCGCATTAAATATCGTTGGCGATACGTCCGCGATATTAATGCGATATGGCTCAGCTTGTCAGTTAACTACGGCTCTTTGTAGTAAATGCCGCTCCATCTGTAAGCAGGTGAAGGCGATTTACTACTAATCAAGGAACCGGCTTTATTGACGAGATGCGCATAACAATCGCATGCGATATATCGCCCAGCCCTACCAGGAACTGAGTTTGACACCCCTGAGTTAAAGCAATGTAAAAACATATGTTGTAACTTATTGAACATATAATCAGGGCTGCCAACTCTCACGCATTCACCGTGAGACTCACGCAATTGAGCCAATTCTCACGCTCTCACGCCACACCCCCGATTTCTCACGCTGAAGTGTCAACCCGGTCGGTCAAATGCCTGAAAGATAAGTTTATCTATAGATCTACCAGTTGAGCCATTCGTGATCGACTAGTTTTACCGCAAATTAGTTAAAATATCCTGTAATCTATAGCGAGCGAGCGTGCATGCGAGACAGATGTGTTGAGCTCTTAACGGCGCGCTCCTAACCGCGCACGCGCACGACGGCAGAGAGGTGATTAAGCGAGCTTGCGTGTCTTTCGCAACACAACCCAGTGGACAGTTACACTGTATTGAGACAGTTGAGAAATAATAATATTTTTACAGTTTTCAACAATAATTGTCATTGTTGAACCCTTGCTCTTATTATATTTCTGATTTCTCAGTTTTGTCATTATTTTAGCAAATCATTTATTTTATATGTTTTGAGACGGTTTGTTTTAAGAAGTTTTAAAGAGTTAGTAAAAGAGTAAAGTAAAAGTTAAAACTTTTTTATTTAAGTAGGCATCTATTTTTTATTAAGTAGGCCTATTTATTTTGTATTAATATATAACCTTACTGTATTCATTCATAATGTATCATTATTGCGTGACATTTGTGTCAATAATCGTCAAGCACAGGGGACTTTGCGTAGTGGGAGGGGGCCCCCAAATCAAATTCTGCTTAGGGCCCCCAAAAGGCTCGGACCGGCTCTGGAGACCAGACAGACAGTGTGAGTTTTTTGTGACAATTGTGAGGGAAATACACAATTTATTCCCATAAACTGTGTAGTCAGCCGTTCTCCCTCCCATCTGCACCGTGTGAATTGTGAACGCAGGCAGGTCAGTGAGTTACAGGGCGCTGCTTGTCTCCATCCAGTTTAGGCTGGTAATAGGCCTGTTATATAGTTTATAGAATTAAGTTAGCAATAGCAGAGTTGTTTGTTTTGCAGCACTGAGCAGTTATTTTACATAACTTTATCATAAAAACAGTACAAAAGCATTTCCAGATGACAAATATGGACATGCCTAGTATTAATTATTGTTTTCTAAGAACATAATGTCAATTAAAATGTTAAATGTAAAATTAAATGTAATGTAAATCTCCCAAGAAATTCTGTACAGATACCAAATACTTTGACAATCAATATATATTTAATACACTTCTGCTAATGCAAGGATTTTGTGTTTGTATTTTTCCCCACACCAAGCCACGCCCCTCAATAAGCCCCTCCCCCATAACCCAAGCCCCGCCCCCCAAAATCTCACTCTAAGCTGAACTCAAAAGTTGGCAGCCCTGTATAATGTTTTACAGTGTAGATTTTTACAATTACGTTAAGACATAAGTAAAGTTAACAGAAAAGTGTTAGTTAGAACAACTGTTTGATTTTTGCATTGTAAGTCACCTCAGGCTACCAACCTTTGAAACTGCTGCTTCTAAACAGTGGCGATTCTACACAGCAAAATCCCCAGTGTTAAATTAACACTGCTGCTCAGTGTTTATATGAGTCCACACTCTCAGAGTGTTATAGTAACACTGAACCAGTGTTGAAGTTGATGAGATAATTAAGTGCTTAATTGAGTGATGATTGAGGATTATTGAAGACACTTGATGTTAACAAGCAGAATCACTGAAGGAGAAAATGTATGTAAAATGGTCATCATTATGGTGATTGGCGTTTAATTTAGTTGGCCTCTTGACCCTTACATTGTTAACTTTAGATTCTGTTTGGCTGTTGTAATTCAGTTATAACAGTCAGATAAACAAACAAAAAAAGGTTTTCTGATGGTGTTGGTTGTGTTTTAACAAAATCATTATTTGACCTAAATCACTGAACTCATTGAGAGCATGATTTCTGAGTTTAGTTTACCTTATGGATTTTAGCAGCACGGTCATTATAGAACATACCATGTTTAGCCTTTTCAATGAAATCCAAACGATCAAATAAAAAAAAAAATCCAAAAAATATTTTATGTAGGCACACACAAACATCAAGAATTAGCGTATAAATCTCAGCAATGGTGACAAACAGATCACCTCTGAACATAAGCTCATTATTTATTCATGCAGCAATGCATGATGGGAGCCATGAATGAATTTTGATTGGTGGCACCCAGAATGCACTGCAACATGCTTTATAATTGTCACCATTGTTGAGACTCACAGGCTAATTATTGATGTCTGTGTGTCTTGAAAAAATTGTATAAGAGAAACTTTTAAGAAATTATTTTGATTACTTTGTAAAAGTTAAAAAAATTATGCTGTACAAGGTCACTGCTGCTATAATTAATCAAGTATACCTAACTCAGAAATTAGACTCTATATGAGTTCAGTGATTCAGGTCAAATGATTGTGAAATAATGATTATGTTAAAACACAACCATCACCATCAGATCACCTTTTCTATTTGTTCATCTGGCTGTTATAACTCATGTACTGCAGCCAAACAAAATCTAAAGATAATGAATGAAGGGTCAAGAGCACAACTAAAGCAAACACTAATCACCATAATGGTGACTTAATAATTCCGGTTTTCTCCTTCAGTGATTATGCTTGTTAACATCAGGTGTCTTCAATAATGCTCAATCATCACTCAATTATTCATTTAATTATCTCATTAACTTTAACACTGC